GCCGCTCCACGCCGCCGCCGCCCCCATCCCCCTGCCACGCCGCCGGCAGATGGGCCGTCCGCGAGAGACTTTATGGCAGTGATCGGGTGACGGGACGCTCCTCTCTCCCTGCGACCGTGTCTTACAGCTGCATTTGTATGAAAGGATGCGCTGTTACCGGAGGGACTGACCCGGGGGGAGGGGGTGGGCTGGCGTGGCGTCGCACGTGGAACTGTGTCCCCGGCGGACCGGAGCCGTTATGCCGACATGTGCCGACAGCGTGGTAGGGTTACCAGGACGCTGTGTAGTGTGTAGCTTCTTTGTTATTTCATCACCTCCGTCGCCATCTGTGTCCTCCCGACCCAGTACATAAACGGGGCGGGAGCAACCCTCGCTCTCACTTCTTTACTTTTCGGCGCCGAGAGAGCACTGCCTCGCTCTCTCTGGCCAACTCTTCTTGTCAGTGATACTCTGTGTTGTCATCGCCTATTCGCCATCTGCAATACTCACCAGTTCGGAAGAATCTTGTGTTTGTGAATGGTGAAGAGTGGAGTGCAGCGGCGGATAAGAGCACGGGGAGAGTGGCACACAGTCAGTTCGCACAGTCTTCTATTTCACGGTGACCGGGTCTACTTATCATTCCTATCTGATTCCTTATTTTCCTAATACCTCTTGCTCTCTGAAAAGAGGGTTCCTTTGTCTCTCTGTAAAGAGGGCTCTATATTTAGGTCTTAACATGCTCTCTGTAAAGAGGGTTCCTTTGTCTCTCTGAAAAGAGGGCTCTGCATACCCTTTTAGGTCTTAACATGCTCTCTGTAAAGAGGGTTCCTTTGTCTCTCTGAAAAGAGGGCTCTGCATACCCTTTTAGGTCTTAACATGCTCTCTGTAAAGAGGGTTCCTTTGTCGCTCTGAAAAGAGTGCTCTTAAACCTTGATCCAAAATTATATCCATTCATATAGCATCCACTTCTTATATTATAAATTTCCAATTTCGCCTCATTACCATATCAACCTATATCCTGTCAGGCCCCGGTCGCCACACCAAATGATGCGAGACGTCAACACACACACAGTTATACAGTCCACTGAGTCAAGTTGAAGAACGTCTGCAACACCATTGAAGGCAAAATTTCGCCGATTTCAAGGTCGAATGTCGACAATTTCCAAGAAGCCAACGTATAACTCGGGAACCAATAGAGCTACAGCGGCGCGGAAAAGCGCATTCGATAGCCCTATTAACGCCCTTTCTGAGCAATTTTCTCAGATTTGACCTAACGTCAACGGTTTTGCCTGCAGGGGGCAAAAACTGCAAAAATAGCCGATTTTTTCGGAAAGTTTTTCTGCAATAACTTTTGACTCAAGTCTTGTACGAGCTTACTTTTACCGGCATCGTGTTCCTCTCGTCAAGACGCATCGAATGAACTATAACTTGACCTTGAAAGGTCAACTTGAAAATTTGACCTCAGGTCAAGGTCATGACCTGACCGGAAAGGGTCATGTTGCATATCAGTCGATCCGTATCGTCGAGCTGAACACATCTAAGGCGTTTTCATCGCTCTAGCATGCCTCTATCAAAAGTTATTTGCGAAAAACTGTTAGATACTATTCGTGACCTAAGATGACCTCAGGGCATAAACAGGGGTCACGGACACCATTTTCATGTTCAGTGTGTCTAAACCACTTGTAATTCAGTGTTTGGGAGTGTTTATAATGTCTTTCGTCCAAAAGAGGCGCATTTGAATTTTCTCCCATTGACTTATAATGGGGAGGTCGCAAAATTGACCTGACCTTAGGTCATCGATATCAAAATTCTGAGATATACATTTTGTACATGCTATTGCTCTTAGCAATCGCTGAAAGTTTCAAAGCAATCGGTCACTCGGTGTAGCTATGACAGACATTGAAACTTTTTATGAGGTGAGGTCACTTCAAGTGACTTGGTGACCTGACCTTGAATGACCTTGGTCTGAAATTTTTACAACATGTGTAGAATTGAGATATGATAAGGTATACCAAAAACGGCGGCGCTCCGCGCCGCCGTTTTTGAGATATTCGCGAAAAACCTTAGGGGGGGTGTTCAAACACCCCCCCCAGCAGGGCGCGGGTTAAATTGTGGTTTTTCCGTATTTCTCATTTAATGCCAAATGTTGGCGCCGTTGTCGCCTGGCGATGGTAACTTTTAGTTGTCTGGGCGCTTGGCAGATGGCGGTGTGATTTTCGGTTGTCCGTTTGCTATCGATTTATTGATACGTTTATTTTTTGGTTTGGTGCCTTGTTTCTTTTGGTTTATTTTAGGTATCGATTTGTAATTTAGTTTTGTATTGTGATCCGCGGTCATAAGTTATTTGGATTTTGTTCGATTTACTGACCGTGACCTCTACGGTCACGTGACCCGGCGCCGGCTGACCTGCCACGTCACCCTTCTGGGTCAGCGGAGGGGCGGCCGGCGGGGCAGCGCCCATTCTTGGTTGGCCTGTCGCGGCGGCGTTAGCGTGCCGCGCATCGGTTTGGTTTGGTCGTGTTTGGCTTGGTTCGGCCGTTCGACGTTTGGAGTACAAGGGCGCACCGTGTAGGTGAGTGAGCGATTTTGGCCTCGGAAATTAGTTCATGTTGGTGAGATTGTTTGCCGATTTTGTTTGCTTTGCTTTGTTGTGTCTGCGTATTCGTTTGGTTGGTGTTCTTTTGGTCATATGTTAAGTTTCTTTGTTTCGATTTCAGAAACCGCTACGCTTTGTTCCGTTCTGTTTGCTGCTCTACGAGCAATATATGGTCAGCACAGGCGGAGAGCGCGTTTCACTACCGGTCGGCGCGAGATCCGGGGCCCTGAGGTCGTCGGCGGCTACAGTTTCTACACGCGCCAGTTTCTGCGCGAGCCATCTGCGCTCGCTGACTGGATCTTCGGGAGCGCGCAGTTTCTGCGCGCCGGCTGGATCTTCGGACGCGCGCAGTTTCTGCGCGCGCTGGCTGCGCTATCGGCGCTGTCCTACGGACGCGCGCAGCTTCTACCAGCTTCTACGGTCTGCAGCGGCTACAGTGTTTCGGCCTGCAGCAGAGCTCGACACGTGCCGACTGCCGGGCATCTGCGCGTGTTTCAACGTGCTGAGTTTCTGCGTGAGCTAACGTGCGCAGAGTCGGTAAGTGATCTGGGTTTGGTTTGGTATGACCGTGGGTTTGGTTTGGTTTGACTCACCTCTGTGAGTTTGGACCTGTGAGTACCTACTGCTCGCGGGTAGTTTGGCCTTGAACCGGGGGCAGTTTGGCCTTGAACTTTGGACTTGGACTCGCGCCAATTCGCTCCTGGGTTGGCTGTGTGCCAGGATTGGACTCAGTCTGGCTCAGTGGTATCAGTGAACTTTGGCTCAAGTAAGGAATTTGAGTGCTCTTCAGGGGAACATCAGTGGGGCTGTTGGGGTTAGCTTTAAGGTGTTACTGTGTCACGCATTGTGTGTTTAGTGTGTGTTGTTGTTGTTGTGTGATGCATTATTAGGGTAAGGTAGCTAAATGGCATCAAGGGAGGAGCTCTCCAAGCTCAAATCCTCAGAGTTAGTGGAGGAGCTCAGTTCTAGGGGGCCTTCGACTTTGGGTAAAAAGGCGGAGCTTGTTGATAGGCTGTGGAATGTTGTCAAGCCTGTTGATGATGAGCATGATAGTGTAGACAGGAACATGTCTCAGTTAAAAGGAGATGTAAATCAGGAACAGGTCAGGATGGCAGCAGGTCAGTTGGATAGCAATACTTTGCCTCAAAATCTGTCAGGTTCTGGCTCGGAAGCGTCTCAGTTGCTCATTGCAAAGTTGAGGAATTTGAAGGAGATGGAACAGCTTGAGGAACAGGAACTTAGGATTAAGATGAGACGTCAGCAGTTAGATATAGAGTTAAAGCTGGCTGAGTTGCCCAGTGGAGAGGTAAGTGAGGAAGTGATTGACTCATTGAGGATCCAGACAGACAACCAGGTGAGATCTCCCCGTTCTGATGAGACATCCGTGCTGAACTCACAGATGCAGAGGATGTTGTTGCCACCTACTGAGATTGAGAAATTTGATGGTAACGTCATGAAGTACAAACTGTTCATCAGGTCATTTGAGGCTAGAATTGTGTCACGCACGACTGACGATGACGAGCTCTTGCACTACCTTGAGCAGCTGACTGTGGGAAAACCGAAACAGATTGTTAGGAGCTGTATGTATCTGAGTGAGGGTGGTTATGCAGAGGCCCGAAAGCTGTTAGATCAGAGGTATGGCAGCTCACACAGGGTGGTCGATGCATACGTGCAAAGACTGAACGACTGGGGCAGGATCCCTCCAGGTGACGTAGAGGAGTTAGATAGGTTGACCCTGTACCTGACTGAAATCAAACACGCAATGACTGACTTGGACGTTGCAGGTGAGCTCGAACACCCGAGAACCTTGAGAGAGGTGGTTGACAAACTGCCTGGCTACTTGAAGGATAGGTGGATGAGGTTAAGTGATGATATCATGGAAGGTGAAGGGAGGATGGTTAGGTTCAGGGACTTGGTTGATTTTTTGGCCAAGGAAGTGCGAGTTAAGAGAAACCCAGTTTTTGGTAGGTCCTCGGAGAGCAAACAGGCTGCACAGAGGTCAAAGCCACAGGTCTCTGGTCGCATGCAGGCGCAGTGCAGTGCGACTGCAGTAAGCTCAGGATCAGGTGAGAACAGATGCAGGTTCTGTCGAGGTAATCACTTCCTTGATGACTGTCAGGAGCTGAAATGGAGACCGATGGATGAGAGGAAGCAGTTCATTCAGACTCAGAGGTTGTGTTTTGGTTGCTTGCATGAAGGTCACACTGCCAGGTTCTGCAGGAAGCGTAAGAGGTGCAGCATCTGTGGTGGTCTGCATGCTACTCTCCTCCACAGGCAGGGTGAGCAGCCACCTAAGGCTGAGCAGGTGAGACCCAGTGCTGCTCCCAGCAGCTCAGTTCAGGTTAGCAGCGGTGGAGTCACTGCTGACTCTGGTCAGAGGACAGGTACTCTGATGCCTGTGGTTCCAGTAAGAGTTGTGTCACCCTCAGGGAAGACAGTGGAAACTCTTGCCTTTTGTGATAGTGGCAGCTCTGGAACTTTCATGAGTAAGAGTCTGGCTGATCAGCTTGGGATGTGCTCAAAGTCCACTACCATTTCTGTTGACACTGTGTGTGGATCTGGGAGTGAGATTTCCACATCTGTGATGGAGGATGTGAAAGTTGGTCCCCTGAAGGGTGAAGGTCTGTTCTCGCTCCCTCCAGTGTTCACTCTTGATCGCATTCCTGTGTCCACTGAGGATGTGTGTGACAGAGTTGAGTTGAGTGCTTGGCCACACCTGTGTGGTGTGGAGCTGCCGGAGACTGATGTTGATCTGCGTGAGGTGGATCTACTGATTGGTGCAAACTGTCCACAGCTGTTGGTGCCGGATGAGGTGAGGAAGCCTGAGGGCGACGGGCCGTGCGCTCTGCGCACCCGCCTCGGGTGGTACGTGATTGGACCCTCCCATCGGTCGGCTCGTGATCCTGTGGGTCAGCACTCTGTGAACCGGATCGGCGTTTCGCGTTCTGACATTCCTGGTAAGGTCTCTGAGGCTGATCTGTTCGTTCAGCTGTACGATCAGGATTTCAAAGACGCAGCTGATGAGACTGAGAGTTTGTCCGTGGAGGACAAGGAGTGGGTGAGCATGGTCAAATCTAAGCTGAGGAAGGATGAGATGGGCCATTTTGAGATAGGTCTCCCACTCCGTGATGTCAGTGACTTGCCGGATAGCTACTTCACAGCTAAAAGGCGCTTGGAGCCTCTCAGGCGACGCTTGTCTGGCAACCCCGATCTTCGTGATGAGTATGTTTCTGTTGTTCAGCGACTGTTTGATGAGGGCTACGCTGAGGTGGTCCCTGATGCTGAGGTTGAGACTGGGGAAAGGGTTTGGTATTTGCCGCACCACGGTGTTCGGCATCCAGAGAAGAAGAAACTAAGGGTGGTTTTTGATTGTTCTGCAAAAACTGATGGCCTGTGTCTGAACGATCTGCTGATCAAGGGACCCAACCTCACCAACTCACTTGTTGGGGTGCTGCTTCGATTCCGCCTGAATCCTGTGGCGTTCACGTGTGACGTGGAGTCGATGTTCCACAGGGTTCGACTTCCTGCTGCTGATGCGAACATGCTGCGTTTCCTGTGGTTCAGGGACGGCGATGTCGGCGGTGACGTGGTGGTCTGCCGCATGAAATCGCACATCTTCGGCGCGGTGTCTTCTCCCAGCGTCGCAGGGTTTGCACTGAGGCAGTGCGCTGAAGAAGGTAAGGCCGAGCATCCAGAGGCTGCTAGGATTGTTGATCAGAATGTCTATGTAGACGATGCACTGGTATCGGCTTCATCAGTGGATGAGGCTGTTCGTTTGGCCAGCGATTTGAGACAGTTATGTCAGACAGGCGCATTTAACATGCGCAAGTTCACGAGTAACAGCACAGAGTTCCTTCGGAGCATTCCGCGTGAGGACAGGGGCAACAACGCGAAGGATCTTGACCTCCAGGTAGAGTCGTTGAAGCCAGAGCGTGCTCTAGGCATGCTTTGGTCAGTGGAGGATGACACGTTCCGGTTCCGCTTCGCTGACAGGCGCAGACCAGTGACGAGACGAGGCATTTTATCCACAGTGAGTGCTTTGTTCGATCCGCTTGGCATCGTCTCGCCAGTCACCTTGAAGGGCAAGGTCTTGGTCCAGAAGCTGTGCCTGATGTTCTGTGGCTGGGACGACGCCATTCCGGCGCCCTTGGAGGACGAGTGGTCTGAGTGGTTGGCGCAGGCCAACCGCCTCGATGCGGTCAGCCTGGACCGATGTTTCGGGGCTGCTTCTGGTGAGGCTGCTCGTCAGCTTCACGTCTTCTCGGACGCCAGTGAGACTGGTCACTCAGCAGTGGCGTTCCTGAGAACGGAGACGCCGGCAGACGACGGTGGTGTCGTGTGTACCGTGCGCTTTGTTATGGGGAAGGCTTTGGTGAACCCTGTGAAGTTCGTAACGATCCCTCGTTTAGAGTTAGCCGCGGCCGTGGTGGCTACAAGGCTGAGGGATCTGATTGTGAAGGAGTCTGGCCTTCGTTTCAGCAGCTCGTACCTATGGACTGACAGCACAGTCGTGCTGAAGTACCTTCGTAACAGGACGGCTCGGTTTAAGACTTACGTGGCAAACCGAGTCACTTTCATTCGAGACAGGACGTCAGTAGAGGATTGGAAATACGTCCCGTCTGCTGCCAACCCGGCAGATGTCGGATCACGTGGATCCACTCCAGAGGACTTGGACATGTGGTTGAAGGGGCCGGACTTCCTTTCAGCGAGCGAGGAGAGCTGGCCGTGTGAGCCGGGGCGGTCAGTTGATGATTCCGATGATCCAGAGATCAGACATCCCTCACCTGCGACTGTTGTTGCAGCGGTCGCTGAGGTTCCTCAGGTGTCGGCTGCAGTGTCGGGTCGCGAGCAGCCGTCCGCGACTGAGAAGCTGCTCAGTCACTTCTCGTCTTGGTACAGACTCAAGAAGGCCGTAGCATGGTACATACGGTTCTTTCAGGTGCTCAAAGGGAGACTGCTCTCACGGGCGCGCGTGATCCGCGATCGGGGTCTGCGCGCTCGCGGAGTGGGGTTGGAGACGTCTCTGAGCGTGGACGATCTAAGGTCTGCTGAGCTGAACATTCTCAGGCATGTTCAGGAGACCAGCTTCCCCGAGTTTTATGATCGTGAAGGCACGGTAAACGTGAAGTCGAGCTCCCTCAAGGGGCTGAACGTGACGCTGAAGGACGGACTGTTAGTCGTAGGGGGTAGGTTGAGCCGCTGCCCAGTTGAGAGCAGCGCCAGGTGTACTGTGCTCCTACCGAGGAACCATCATGTGACACGACTGGTAATGCGTGACGCTCACGTGTCAGTGGGGCATCAGGGTCGCGAGCACACGCTGAGTAAGATCCGAGAGAGATTTTGGATAGTGGGGGTGGGACCTCTGGTCAGGAGCTTAGTGCGATCCTGCGTGACCTGTAGGAAGGTTAACGCAGCCCCAGAGCAGCAGATGATGTCAGATTTGCCAGAGGACCGGGTGACGCCGGACACGCCAGCTTTCACGTCGGTAGGTTTAGATGTGTTCGGACCAGTGATGGTAAAAAGGGGTCGCCATGAGATCAAGCGCTATGGTCTTATGTGCACCTGTCTGGTCACCAGAGCAGTTCATGTTGAGGTTCTCCAGTCGTTAGAGACAGATTCACTGATCAATGCGATTCGCCGCATTGTAGCACGTAGAGGGCCGATTCTTAGGATAAGGAGCGATTTGGGCACGAACATGGTAGGGGCCAACAATGAGCTACGGGCCGAGCTTGAGAGGTTAGATGTAAGTACGCTGCAGCAGTTCGCTCTGTCCAAAGGGATTGAGTGGATCTTCAATCCACCTGCTGCTTCCCACTTTGGGGGATGCTGGGAGCGATGCATCCGAACGTTTAGGAAGGTTTGGAGGTCTATGCCGACTCAGAGACTTGACGACGAGGGACTGAGCACACTGTTCTGTGAGATTGAGTCAGTGCTTAACAGTAGACCGCTGACACACGTTTCCGATGACAACGGGAACCTTGAGCCGCTCACGCCCAATCACCTGCTGCTCTTACGAGGCGGTGGTGAAGGCATACCAGGTAGGTTTGCTGACGAGCAGTTTTCCGCCAAGCAGTGGAGAAGGGTCCAGTACCTCGCTGACCAGTTTTGGCTCAGATGGAGGCAGTGGCGTAGACAGGGGGGGGCCATGGGGGCCATGGCCCCCCCTTTCCGCCCAGCCGCCCAGGTGGCGCCCCAATTAGCGCCGACTAGGCTGATGCCGTTTTACAGAGGGAACATGAATTAAAAAGTGATGTGCAGGCAGGAATCGAACTCAATATCTCTGGGGGTGCCTGGACACCCCAATGTTCTCCAGGGCACCCCCAAATAGGACCTGAGCCCTCCAATGTTTAAGGGCGCCCCCTTGGGCGCCCCTCCGGAAACCAGAATATTTCGAACCCCCAGGGTCGATGGCGCCCCTGAAAGCCGCTGGCACCCACCTGAACGGAACAGTCGCCCCATTGAAGGTTGATTGCGCCCCTCTGAAGTTCACAGCTGCCCCATTCGGCCCATCCAAGATCGATGGCGCCCCCTGAAACCACTGGCGCCCCTCTAAAGCACCCGCATTCTTTTCAAGATCACAGTCGCCCTATCCGAGATCAATAGCACCCTCAAGAGAGCCACTAGCGCCCCCCTTGAGACTGAAGTCGTCCCGCTTGAGACTAAAGTCGTCCCATTCAAGCCCAATGACGTCCCTCCAGAGCGTCCGGTGCGTTTCTGAAGATCACAGTCGTCCTCATCCGAGGTCGCTGGCGCCCCTCAAAAGTCACTGGCGCCCATCTAAACGGAGATCACAGCTGCCCCATCTTAAGATCGATGGCAACCCTCTGAAACCAATGGCGCTCTTCTAGAGTACCCGGCGCCCCTCTGAAAATCATATTCGCCCCATCCGAGACAACGCCCCTTGAGACTACAGTCACCCCATCCAAGCTCAAGGCGCCCCTCTAGAGCGTCCGGCGTCCTGCTGAAGGCAACAGCGGCCCCATCCATGCCCAATGGCGCCCCTCAGCGCCCTTCTAAAGATCACAGTCGCCATCAATCCAAGGTCGCTGGCGCCTCTCAAGAGCCACTGGCGCCCACCTGAACCGGGACTTCAGTCGCCCCATCCTAAATCAATGGCGCCCCTCTGAAAGCACTGGTGCCCCTCTGAAAATAACAGTCAAATCATCCGAGATAAATGGCGCCCCTTCAGAGCGTCCGACGCCCTAATGAAGGCAGCAGTGACCCCATCTAAGCATTACACCCCTCTAGATCACCCGGTGCCCTTCTGAAGATCACATTCGCCCTATCCGAGTTGGTTGGCGCCCTCCAGTAGTCACTGACGCCCATCTGAATGGAGATTTCAGTCGCCCGCCCCATTCAAGCTCGATAGCGCCCCCCCCCCCCGAAACCACTGTCGCTAGGTAGGTAATTATTTGACAATGGGGCTGTCTCATCGACACCAAGGACCCTTTTCAAGATTCAGCAGCCAGGCGGCGCCGAGCTGGGCTAGGATGTGCCAAGCGTTTCGTATAAGGCAGCCTCGTTAGTGCCACCCCTCGTTGCGATACCACCCCTCAATGCGACGCCGCCCCTTCACCGTACAATGCCACCCCTCAACGCAAGTGGTGCCCCCCAGCGCATTGCCGCCTATTTTTGCGATGCCGCCGCCGCCTAGCAGTGCGGTGCCGCCCCAGCGTACGCTACACCGACGGAACGATCACTTTTGAAACTTTCAGAGATTGATAAGACTAACAATATGTAAAAAATGTTTAGCTCGGACTTTTGATATCCATGACCAGGTCAATTTTGCGACTTCTATTGGAGAAAATTGAAATGCGCCTCTTTTGGACGAATGTGGTTCAAAACCCTCTCAAACTCGGTTCATAGGTAGACATAACACACTGAATCGACAAAATGCACCTGTGACCTGCTGTGTGCCCCTGAGGTCATCTCAGGTCATGAACGGTCACCAGCATTTCTTTCGCTATACCTTTTGATAGAGACGTGCTAGAGCGGTGAAAACACGTCAGATGTGTTCAGCTCGACGAAACGGATCGAGTGATATGCAGCATGACCCTTTCCGTCAAGGTCATGACCTTGACCTGAGGTCAAATTTTCAAAATGACCTTCCAATGTCAACATTCGACGCGTTTCGACGAGAGGAGCACGATGCTGGCAAAATAAATGTCGTCACTGTCTTGAGTCAAAAGTTATTGCAGAAAACGATTTTAATAAAAACTACTATTTTTGGAGTTGTTGCCTTGTTGCCCTCTGGAGGCTAGTGGCAGTCAGTCACTGGAGGCAGTCATGCATGTCCACAAGTATAGGCTGCACGCACTAGACATCGAATTGTAAAGGTGATGTGTGGAGAAAAAATCCAGAACGTATGTCAGTGTTCGGTCGCCTCTGACTGCAGTCGCTCCTGGTATGACAATGAGTTGAGATCTCATGGTGGATCTCATGGTCTTAAATGTTCAAGTCTTTCCTTGATTCCAATTTAGGCAATGAGTCGCAGCGTGAATCCTACATACGTGCGCTCTGAGATTCTAAACACGGCAACCCCGGTCGACCACAGGCTGCAGCCCACAGGTCACTTCGGATCAGTGAAAGAGCCCGTATATTTTTCTTTTTTTGCAAAGAATAAAGATTGTGCCTATCGATCAACGTATAGTCATTTCATCGTTTCGAATTCGCATGGATGCGTTTGAGAATAAAATCTCCGTAGCCTGAGCTCATTTCCTATATCATGCTAAAAATTCATCTAGATCAAGGTTTTTGATAAAAAAACACCAGGCTGCAAATTGCATTAATTGGACTTTATGAAAATCAGCGAAAGCTGGTTCTTATGTATTTTGCAACACCTAGTAAATCATGCATGAACATGACGTTACATTTTAGACTGACGCCCCTGTCACTAGCTGACAATGTCGCCCCTCTTAAGGGAAAAAGTCGCCCCCTCGAGGACCATGGCCCCCCCTTTCGCTGATCTCTGGCTACGCCACTGGATGGAGGCGCGAGTACTTGCCGACCTTACAGCGGCGCCAGAGGTGGGTATCTAAGTCTAGGAACGTAGAGCAAGGAGACGTCGTGTTACTGATAGATGAGGATGTGCCGAGAGGTCATTGGCGCATGGGCAAGGTGACGCAGACGTTTCCGAGCAAGGACGGTTTGGTGAGAAAGGTGTCCCTGAGAACTGGTGGCACGGTTTTGACGCGGCCGGTGCATAAGCTGATAGTCCTGCTGCCGACTGCTGACCGGAGCCTGAGCTAGATTGCGATCGTCTGGAGCCGACTGCGGCTCAGACCTGAGTTACCGAGTGTTGTCGCGGCGCGGTGATAGTTAAGTGTTTTATTCGGTGCTTAGTGTTAAGTGATGAGTGTTAAGTGTCCTCAACCCTGTCGGTTGAGCGGGGGCAGTGCTGGCGCCGTTGTCGCCTGGCGATGGTAACTTTTAGTTGTCTGGGCGCTTGGCAGATGGCGGTGTGATTTTCGGTTGTCCGTTTGCTATCGATTTATTGATACGTTTATTTTTTGGTTTGGTGCCTTGTTTCTTTTGGTTTATTTTAGGTATCGATTTGTAATTTAGTTTTGTATTGTGATCCGCGGTCATAAGTTATTTGGATTTTGTTCGATTTACTGACCGTGACCTCTACGGTCACGTGACCCGGCGCCGGCTGACCTGCCACGTCACCCTTCTGGGTCAGCGGAGGGGCGGCCGGCGGGGCAGCGCCCATTCTTGGTTGGCCTGTCGCGGCGGCGTTAGCGTGCCGCGCATCGGTTTGGTTTGGTCGTGTTTGGCTTGGTTCGGCCGTTCGACGTTTGGAGTACAAGGGCGCACCGTGTAGGTGAGTGAGCGATTTTGGCCTCGGAAATTAGTTCATGTTGGTGAGATTGTTTGCCAATTTTGTTTGCTTTGCTTTGTTGTGTCTGCGTATTCGTTTGGTTGGTGTTCTTTTGGTCATATGTTAAGGGTGCGTTAACTTCGGAGGTGGCTCCGCTCAGCGTTGGTGTCCGAGCACTACTACTCTGATTCTCAGCCAGTAGATGTCACCAGGGTAGAGCGCTTTTTTCCCACGTTAATGGCCTTCTCCCCCTCCTCATTTCACGGCCCTTACGATAACGACGTTTGGTTACTGCGCCGGCGCGGCGGGCGGCGCCGACTGAGGGAGATCATGGTGTGTAAACACCGCGCGGACGGAACACGTCTCTCGACGAGCCTTCCCGGCGCCGTCCTTAGCCTGGTGTAGGTACTTACTTACCCAGTTAGAACGAAACTGATTAATTGATATAGATATATGTTATCGAATATTGAGTCTGCCGCAGCTCTAGTCACAAGAATGCGTCTGATATTCTCACATGATTGACCTGACGGCATTGTTGTAGTGAAATGCAGTGCTAGATTCGCATTGCTACACAGTACACATACTACCAGTAAAACGCCTTATAGGGCGATAAACGGAGCGAACGAGAGGATCGGCCGTGCACGTGGGAAATTGTGAGGGGTACCTCAACTGACTAGTGCACGGCAGTCGGCACCCTACTAACCGCTCTCTAGCAATGTGCCATATTTGAGCGCAATCGACCCAGCCGTTCTCGAGATCTAGAAGCGGCACCCTGCACGTGCGCACGTGCAAAATGGGTCCCAAGTGACTTTTGCACGGCACCCTACTAACGGATCCCTAACCGCTAACCAAATCTGAGCGCAATCGGCCCAGCCGTTCTCGAGATCTGGAATCGACCCCTGCACGTGCGCACGTGCAGCAGCACCCCACATGAACAGTGGGACATGAAAATGCATTGCCTAGTGGGTGCCTACTGCCTACCTACATGCAAAGTTTCAGCGCAATCGGCCCAGTAACTACCGAGATATTGCAATTGTTACAAAAATGACTCCTCTTCGTTTTGCACGTGGCACGTGCATAGGGGGTCACCCACATGCATCGAAAGAAGTCAAATACTTGGTAGAAGCAATCAAGCTACCCTACAAAAATTACCGCAAGTAAATCGGCCCAGCGGTTGCTGAGTTTTTTTTTAGCCTTTCAAAAGCGTTACAGCCCGGGCCGGGTCGGGCCAGGCCGCTCTTTCTGAGATTTATCCGTTACTCTGAGGTGTTTGCGCGATAACTGTATGTTTTGATATGTATGATTAACGGATGCATTATTTTGGGTGTAGAAACTTGCATTTTTATTGGTATTATTTGTGAAGAACTGGGTAACTGCAGACTGCTGTTTGATTCATCTGTGATTGAATCGATTGGATTGAATCAAACAAAATTTGTTGAATCAAAAAGGTTTGATTCACTGTAAGGATTGTTTGATTCACAAGCCATGATTGAATCAAACGCATTGGGAATCAGGGTTAATTGAATCAAAAAGAAAAAAAAAATTAATGATTCATGAACTTCAAAAATTGAAGTGAACGAACATAGTTCATTATCAACAAATATTAACACTACTGCAATTACATGACAACAAAAAGAACACAACAAATACAATACTATCCATGATATTTTGTATATTTTATTTTTTAATTGAATAAAAAAAGAACCATTCAAAAAAAAAAAATTAGGCCGAATCAAACGTGAATCATTCCTTTTATTGCTTTTTGATTCTCTGAATCAAAGGGAATCGATTCACCAAATTTTTTGAAGGAATCAAACGGTGATTGAATCAGACAAAAATCAAATGAATCAATGATTGAATCGATCCAAAAAAGGTGAATCAAAAACCAGTCTGGGTAACTGCTTTTAATTGAACTGTAAAGTATGATGGTGATGCATGCGAGTTGTTCGAGCCCTTTGTAAGTTAGGATGTTACTCAATTCAACCCTACCCTACCCTACCATACCCTACCCTATACCCTATCCTAGCCTACCCTACCCCTCATAGGCGCGGGAGCCGGGGGGGGGCAGTGAGGGCAGCTTGCCCCCCAGCTCTGGGGCCGTGGGGGCGATGCCCCCACAGCTTTGAGACGGAATACCACACTTTTTTTTGCAAATGTTTTTTTTCTTTTTTGTTGAAAAAGCCAAGGGATGAAAAATAAGTGGCCTAAAATCGGTGAGAAAACTAGATTTCGGGGTACCCTAGGTTGATCTCTATTATGGTGTGCCCCCCCCCCAGTCTGAACGTAGTTCCCGCGCCCTTGCTACTCCTACCCTACCCTACCCCTACCCCTACCCTACCCTACCCTACCCTACCCCTACACTACCCTACCCTACCCTACCCTACCCTCCCCTTCCCTCCCCTTCCCTACCCTACCCTACCCTACCCTTACACTACCCTACCCTACCCCTACACTACCCTACCCTACCCTACCCTCCCCTTCCCTACCCTACCCTACCCTTACACTACCCTACCCTACCCCTACACTACCCTACCCTACCCTACCCTACCCTGCAAAGCACGACACATGCCGTTCCGTGAGCGGTCAAGGTATAGGGAGCCCAAGGGCAAAGACGTGAAGTAAAAAAAACAAAAACATACAGGATGAGGCGACTAGCCCTGCCACACATCTAACAAGCTGAAACTTTTTTTTGTCACTCATCCCATCATGGCAAAAAGGGTAAAAAAAGGGAGCGACCCACAACAGTGAATGAGACTTCGATGTAACATATCATCATTGGCTCAGATGTCGACCACGCATCAGCTAAGGTAATTTCAGCAATCGTGTCAAAACTGAAGCATTCGCTCAGCATCATGCCGATCTCATTTTGTGCTCCTTGTTCTGTGTCAGTTTCGTGTCATGTACGAATGCAATATGTCAATGATACCATGGATGCAATATTATGCCGGTTATACTGGTATGTTTTCATTGGCTTCGCCTCTGCACTGTCAGCAGAGCAGACGCCAAACTGGGGATTTATGTGTGATGCATCGCTGATATATAACTACTGATGCACTGTTTTATTACTTTCCGTGAGTATTACAATGCATAGTAGTACTGGTTGTTCCTTCTTGGTCTTGAACTTCACCATGTGGTTGCTATATACCGATACCACATTATTTGCCGACGTGTTGTGCATTGTGATCGCTATACAAATGCAGCTTCAGAGTAGGTAGGTACTATGCGATTTTAATATTACTGACGTATACATAGACAGACTGGCCACAATCAAATTCAAGCATGCCATCACAGTTCACATGCAATACCCATGTTTATTTAGGGGAGAAGGTAAAGTATAGGCGCCAAGGTTGGTAGTTGGTAACCTGTGTATCGATATACAGGGTGATTTTTTTTTAAACTGTTAACCCTCGCCCGTAAACGGCGATCTGCCACCTTCGCCCATGCAGGGGGGGGGGGGTGCGACCCCCCCCCCTTGGCGTTTGAAAACGGAGCGTCGTAGAGCTTAGCGGAAAAGACCAACGGATTGCTCTCGCCGAGATCTCGCGATTGGTGGTATATTTTTTGGTCCTAGGTCAACATTTGACCTACTTTTGACCGGTCAAAGGTCAAATTTTCGGAAAAATAGACTTTTTTCAACTTTCCGCGGCGATTGCGGCAAAACGGTGGGAGATATCGACTTGAAACCTTCACTATCGTGTTCCTTGATCAATTCTCTATCGTTTGGTATGTATTTCGTTTCCCTAGCTCTAAAAATGGCGCGTTGGGAGCGCCGGAAGTCGGCAAGGTCACAGTCGGCGGCAGAAATTCGAAAAATCAAAATTTAAATTTTTGAAATCTGATTGTATTTTTAGATTTGGAAGGTCCATTTGCTCCCTATAGAAGCTAATATTGCTGCATATTCCCATTGAGGTGACAAGAATTAGCAAAATAGTGGTTCGGGCGCTTTTCAAAAATAGTACCGGACGCTGTTCCTCTTGTGACGTCATAGCTCCGTGACCTGACCTGACCCGGTCAAGTTTCTTATACCATATGATAGCCAATACTTGCCCCAACATGCATGGGAAGTTTCATCACGATCCATCAACCGATGTCCGTACCACCGGCAGGAAACCTCGGGCGTTGGCACTCAGTTTGTGAAAATCCGGCCGGAGGCTGTTCCCTTTGTGACGTCATAACTCCGTGACCTGACATGACCCGGTCAATTTTTTTTTATCAAAAGATGCGCAAGGTTTGCCCCATAAGGTACCTACCCAAAATTTGGCGGCGCTGCGCGCCGCCGTTTTTGCACTATTTCCGAAAAACCTCAGGGGGGGGGGTTGCACCAACCCCCCCCCCTACATGGGCGAGGGTTAAAAAGTAAACGTCAATGGTGGTCCCTAAATCGAAAAATCTTGTGCAAAAAAGCAATGCACGTGATAGATAAATCTGGGACATTTTGTATGGTGTCATGATTTGTCCCTTTTAACCGAAGGCCTCGGCCCCAATGGAGCCTGAAAATGTCCCACCTATCGGGCACGCAGGTCCACCGCCGTTCAGTAAGGAACGACACAAAACGATGATTTTGAAGTATTGAGGCAGTTCGAAGCATACGATCATCAAGGAGATACCTCAGAAAGACGTTAAATAATGCAGGAACAAGCTTGTAGTCATAAATGACCTTCAACTGGTCCATCTGGCGTATGTGCAACCTCTGAAGAATCAGTCTTCAGGGAGAAACAAAAAACAGCGAATCAGACACCACCAGGGCCGCACGTAGCAAAATCCTCCACCTGCCTTTTCTAGACTTCTAGTTTTTGGACCCAGGTATGGCAGATATAACAAGAAAACATTGGAAATATCTGGCAGAGCTGAAAATGGGTGATAGGAGCCTT